ATCACTTGTTATGCATCAGAGAGTTGGACAATGACTAGGAAGGATAGAAGAAGAATTGATGCCTTTGAGCTGTGGTGCTGGAGAAGAGTCTTGAGGGTACCATGGACTGCTAAGAAAACAAACAGATTCATCCTGGAGAGGGTTAATCCAGGCTGCTCCTTGGAGGCAAGGATTCTGAGGCTCCATCTAACATACTTTGGACATGTTGTGAGGAGAGACAGGTCCTTGGAGAGGGACATCATGCTTGGGAGGGTGGAGGGACGGCGCAGGAGAGGAAGGCCCTCTATGAGGTGGATTGATTCAGTGACTGGAATAATTGGGATGGGAGTGTCAGAGACAGTGCAATTGGCACAGGACAGAGCAGAGTTTAGGGCTGTTGTACATAGGGTTGCTATGAGTTGCAAGCGACTCGACGACACATAACAACAACAACAGTCTTATAGAATGATAACTATGGAAAGGCATCAGGTATTTTGTTCATAGAGTCGCTAGGAGTCGACCTTGACTCGAAGGCAATCAACAACAACAGCAGTCTTACAGGTTCATCCAGAGCGCTCCTTGGAGGCAAAGATCTATAGACTTTACCTCACACACTTTTGGGCATGTTGCTAGGAGAGGCTGTTCGTTGGAAAGGGCACAATGCTTGGGAAGGTGAAGGGAGGGTGAAAGAGAGGAAGACCTTTGGCCAGTGTATTGACACAGCAACTTCAGCAATGGGCTTAATGGTGTTAGAGATTGTGAGGATGGCACAGGACAGGCAGGGTTCAGATCTGTTGTTCATAGGGTCACTGTGAGTTGTACTCGATGGCACCTAACATCAGTTATCATTCCAAATTTATTTTACTTGGATCCATAGTCAATAATCATGGTGGATCAAGAGCAGTCATGAAATCAAAAGATATGTTGCATTGGAAAAAACTGCTGTCAAGGACTCATTAAAAGTGATGAAGGGCAAGGATGTCAATTTAAAGACTAAAGTGTAGTGTGCCTAATCTCAACCATAGTATTTTCAATTGCTTCTGTAGTGTTAGGATCTTTAAGACTGACTTTTCTGCTTGTTTGGGGTTTTTTTTGTTTTGTCTTTTTTTTATTTGTGTGTGTGTGTACTGTCAAATCAGATCTGACTGGAACAGGAGGAGATTGCCCCTCCTTCTCCAGTAGAGCATCTGGTGGATTCAAACTGAGTACCTCTGGGATTGCAGTGCAACTTCTTGCCACTAGGCCACCAGATATCCCAAGAATGACTTTTCTATCCATTGCCTTAGACTTGACCACACGGCCAGGTAGGAATGTGTAAGTAAAATGAATCTTTGAGCTCCACTCACCCTCCTTAACTCCCCTCATCACCCTTCGCTTCTCTGGGCCCCTGGTCTACAACTGCATATCAACTTCTTCAACATCATCAACAGCTGTGAGAACAACGTGAAAGAGGAAGTTAACCAGACTGGAGGGAGACTGGGCCAGAGCCCAGAGCCAGGCCAAAGCCAGGGCCAAAGCCCTTGAGTTGGGGAACCTCAACAATAAATGAAAGCACAAGAAACAGAGAAAGCAGTGAACATTTTTCATGAACAGAGTTTCCTGTACTAGTGATATCAGGCTATTGACTGAGAATTTGCCTGGATTAATTGAGGACTCTATCTTGCTGTTGCCTCCAATATAAATTATATCTCAATGTTAAGAAAACGTTCTTATGAAAAAATTCTCACCGCTGGATCTATAAGCAACAACATGATACCAGGAGAAAAGATTTTTTAACTGCCAAATATTTCACCTTACTTGGAACCACAATCAGTACAGTTGGTACCAACAGCCAGGAGATCAGGAGACGTATTGCACTAAGAAAGTCTGCAGTCAGGGACCTCTCCAAATTATTGAGGTACAATGATGTTAGTTTGAGAGCTAAGGTGCACCTGATTCAGATCATAGTCTTTTCAGTCACTTGCTATGCATCTGAGAGCTGGACAATGAAGAAAGATGACAGAATAAGAACTGATGCTTTTGAACTGTGATGTTGAAGAATATTGAATATCTCATGGAATGCCAAAAAAACAAAAAGGTATGTCTTGGAGAAGGTGCAGCCAGAGTACTCCATGGAAGCAAAAATGGTAAAGTATCATCTCACATACTTTGGGCATGTTGCTAGGAGAGGTTATTGCCTGGGGAGAAAAGGTGGAGGGACAGTGAAGGATAGGAAGACTCTCAACCAAGTGGACTGACACAGTGACAGCAGCAGCAATGGGCTCAGGTGTGTCAGATTGTGAGGATGGCACATGATAGGATGGGGTTCAGATGTTGTTCATGAGATTGCTTTGAGTTGTACTGGACAGCACCTAACAACAACCTCTTGCTGTTTCTGAATTATTTGAGGGATTTGTTTTGCTGATAACTTGTTTCCAGACTGTTGTTTACTTAAGCTGGATTTTACTATGTGATATCCTTTGTATGCCCCCTCCCTGGCTGTTTCTCTAATAAATCCCACAACTGTGAGTAAAAAGATATCTTGTGAAGTCTGTGTGGGCTTTCACAAAGAGTATCAGATCCAATGATTAGAAGAAGGTGTAATGGAATGGGAGGCCATGCCTGACTTACCAGAATCAGTTTTATACTGTGGATGTTGATGAGAACAATTCCCCTTTATGACGCTAGTAGGTGTCATTTCTACATCGTCTTTATTTAGCTCTGGTGGCCTAGTGACAAGAAGCTATGCTGCAATCCCAAAGCAATTCCCTCTCGTACAATTAACTGCCTCGGGAAACCCGTCCGAGGTCAGCTATGGGTCGGTTCTGATTGTACCCTACACAACCACAATGCACGTGAAATTTGGACAATGAATTAGGATGACAGAAGAATTTATATCTTTGAATTCTGGTATTGAAGAAGCGTCCTGAGTATGTCATGAACTGCCAGAAGAACAGATATGTCCTTTTTTTTAAAAAATTGTGATTTTAATGAAATTTTACAAAAAGGTTGTGATTTCATTCTTTCATTGATGGATATTCTTCTCTTTCTCCTCGCTTCCTTGTCCCTCAATTAACTTTGTAATATGCTTCTTGTTCCAAATTGTTAACTGTCATACAAATAATGCCTAATCAAACATTCCTTTCAGACAGTCCTTTTCTTCCCCCGTTCTAGTGCATTTATTATCTATCCACTAAGACTGGTGCCAGTACATTAAACATGCTTCTCTTTTCAAAACTCTTTGTGTTCTATTTATAACAATAATCCACTTGTTCTCGCTAACCATCTTCTTTTAAAATAAAATTTGATTTTAATTGTGATTTTAACAAACATTTCTGAGAAATTTTCGTTCATTCCTTGTTACACATTTTACCTTCTCGCCCTCCCTCATCCCTCCATTTTTTAAAATATATTCATTCATTGTTGCACAGTTACCTACCTTCCTGTCCCAATCTTCTTTGCAATGATGTATCACTTGTTCTGAGCTGTCATCATATGTGTAATGCCTAATCACGTATTCAGTTTAGATGGCAAAACAGCTATGTTTTGAAGGAAGAGCAACCAGGTTGCTTCTTAGAGGCCTAGATGGTGAAACGTCACCTCACGTATTTTGAGCATGTTGTCAGGAGGGACTAGTCCTTGGATAAGGGCGTCAGGCTGAGAAAGGTAGTTAAGTTAGAAAAAGTGAAGAAGACTCTCAACAAGATAAGTTGACCAGTGACTGTAACAATGACTTGAGTGTATGAGAGATGGTGAGGACAGGGTACGAGAGGGCAGGGTTCAGATCCTGCTCATAGTGTCAGTATGAGTCAATTCAATGGCACCTAACACCAGTAATTATCATTTCAGATACTTTGTTGTTGTTGTTGTTATGTGTTGTCAAGTCACTTGCGACTCATAGCGACCCTATGTACAACAGCCCTAAACTTTGCTCTGTCCTGTGCCAATCACACCATCTTCGATACACCCATCCCAATTACCCCAGTCACTGAATCAATCCACCTCATAGAGGGCCTTCCCCTCCACCTTACCAAGCATGATGTCCCTCTCCAAGGACCTCTCCCTCCTCACAACATGTCCAAAGTATGTAGACGGAACCTCAGAATCCTTGCCTCCAAGGAGCCGCCAGGTTTGACCCTTTCCAGGACGAATCTGTTTTCCATGGTACCCTCAATACTCTTTTCCAGCACCACAGCTCAAAGGCGTCAATTCTCCTTCTATCCTACTTAGTCATTGTCCAACTCTCTGATGCATAACAAGTGATTGCAAAGACCATGGTCTGTACCAGATGCACCTTAGTCTCCAGAGAGACACCATTGCTCTTCAGTACTTTAAAGAGGTCCCTAACAGCAGACTTTCCCATGGCAATGTGCCTTTTAATTTCCTGGCTACTGGTGCCAAGAGTGTTGACTGTGAAGCCAAGCAAACTAAATCTGTGAACAATCTCAATCTCTTCACCATCCATCCTGATGCTGCCAGTTGGCCCAGTGGTGAGAATCTTTGTCTTCTTGACATTGAGCCTCAGTTACATTTTATAAATTCTAGTCTGTCCCAGTTTCATGTTGTTAACTAGGACTCAAATAGAAATAACTGGTCTGTAGCCCTGGCTTTATATTAACTTGATTCCTTCTTCTCAGAGGACCATGATTAGTAAATACAGTGAGTGAATACAGCTGATCACAGGTCCTGCAAAAAGCATCTCTGGGTGTTCTCGGAATTTCTAGGGGCATAATCTGAAGGGCAGAGGTGGCTGCTTACCAGGTGGATAGGCTGATTCATGCAAGAAAGCAACTGAGGTACACTTGTATAACACACTTCAAAAGCTTTTAATGAATTGAATCTCCAAAGCACAGGTATTTGAGACCATTTGTAAGGACTTTGGATTTTTTGCAGGACTGTTTTTGGCTAATACATTTTTTAAAAAGCCACCCCAAACCAAAAACCAAACACACACCCGAGTTGCCCTGCCTGCTGTGGGGTCTCTGAAGGATGGACAGTTCTGAAAGGCACTGAGTGATGACATGAGTGAGTCCTGCCCCTCTTCAGGCTTCTAGCTCAGCCAAAGCTCTATCCAATGGATCCACGGACCAGTAGTTGTCATCCCAGCCAAGGAACCAGCCCACAAAGGAGGGAGGCTCAAAGCCTTGCTTCACGATGGTGATTGGGGTTCGCCTATCCCGATTAGCTGGGTCTGTCTCAATGTAACGTTTAGCTGCAAATACACAAGGAGGAAAGAGAGACCCCAAGGGGTATTAGTACCTTCTTCACCAGGGAAAGGATGGTTCAGGACTGTCCCTACTGCTTGCCACACCCCACACTGGACACTACCACCCTTTATTGGCAATGACATCCATGAGTCCTCCATCACCTTGCCCAGGAAGCAGTGCCTGGGAGGGGGCAGGGATCACAGCTGAACTTGCCTCATATAACTCTTATTAATCTCCCTTTAGATGTCTCATTCTTCCCTTTGCTGTCCCTGGTTCCAGAGAAGATCTATTTAGCTACCAGGAAGCTGCATTCCAACACCAGAATCCTGTGGCATTCTGGGAACTTGAAGAGGTGTCCCCTTTCCTTTTATACTCTGGAACTTTCTGAAGAAACTGGTCTGTCCCTTATTGCCCTTGACAGGGCTTATGAGTGGCTTTCTACAGATGAGGAAGTCCTCGGTCCATAGATGTAACTTCTAGCTCTATACAGGAAATTGATCCTACCACACTGCATGAAACAAATCCACAGATAGACTTGGTTCCTTACCGGAAGTCAGGGCTTCTGTCTTTTCCTCTTCTTGAGAATCCTTTCCAACCCAGACAAAGACCTGGAGGCAAGATAAGAAATAAGTGATGTATAAGATGTGCTGAGGCAATCTGCTGTTATAGGAAACATGGCGAGGTCTAGGTGCTGGGCTGGATGAGGCCCTCAAATGACAGGGCCCACTGGCTATGTCTGGGATTTTGGAACAGAGGTTGCAAACTGGTGACCTATAAACATATTTTCTCACTCCCCCCGCCCTAGTCAATGTTGCTTGAAACATCTTTTAAAACAATGGAAACAATCCAAGTGCCCATCCACCAATGAATGGATAGGGAAGCTGTGGTATATTCATACAATGGAATACTATGCAGCACTGAAAAACAAGGAACCCATAAAATATTATTCAAAATGGAAAAAAAATTATTCAAAATGGGTAACTCTGGACATAATGCTGAGTGAAATATCATAGTCATAAAAGGACAAATACTGCATAATGCCACTATTATAAAACAGGACTGACATGGAGGTTGTGGGGAAACTAAAAAAGAGGGGATGAATAATGAATACTGCATTTAAATCAATGAGGGGAAAACCGCCTAAAAGAAATATATGATTAGGTATTATTCGCATGACTAGAGTACAGAATAAGAGGTATATAGCAAAGAGGATGGGGATGGGCGAAGGAGGGAGGAAACTGTGCAAAAATGAAAGAAGAATCTTGTTAAAGAGAAAAGCGAACTGGGGCGGGAGGTTGGGAGAAAATGTGCAATAATGAATGCATGGAAATTCAAGTTTTCTGTAAACTTTTTGTCAAAATATAAATAAAATATTTTTTTAAAAAGGTAACATCTTTTAAAACAAGTTTAGTGATCAACTGAATATATAAAAACTTCTATTTCCAAAAAGTTTTCTTGAAAAATTAAAGATTTTGGTGACTACAGGCTGGAAGGGGACTCTCACTTAGATGAAGCACAGTAATAGTTGCCTCATTAGGTGGCCAGCCCCAGCTGCCTCAGACCACACTACTCCTTCATGCCTCTCCATCCCAGGCTATTTCATTAATTATCATTACCAATGCCAGGTGCCATTAGGCACTGAGTTTGGGATCTCTCTCTCTCAAATTCCAAATTATCCCTTTATAGATATTTAATCATTCAAATAAACAAAGGGCCAACATATTCATTCATTCATTCATTCATTCATTCATTCAACAAATATCCATTGAGTGTCACTGTGTGTCCAGCCCTGTGTGCCTTGGTCAACATGAGTCTGATCCCTAGGATACAAATTGAACGCATACCACCACGACCACCTTGAATATTATTACAAGTGTCAATAGGCAAAACAAAGTTATTAAACTGGTTTTTATGTATCACCTATTTTTATGTATAACAAAAATTATTTGAGAAAATCTGTCCTCGATAAAACAGGTTGGAATTTATTATTTTTTTAAAAAATTTTGTTATTTTTGGTGTGTGTGTACTGTTAAATCGGATCTGACTGGTATAGGAGGAGATTGTCCCTCCTTCTCCATCAGAGCATCTGGTGGATTCGAACCGAGAACCTCTGGGATTGCAGTGCAGCTTCTTGCCAGTAGGCCACCAGAGCTCCCTTATTTTTATTTCTTTATAAATGTGTGTCTACTAAACTAGAAGCCCTACAAAGCAGTTACTTTATTTTGCTCATCGTAAGATTTGGGGCACCTAGCACTCTGCCAGTAGACCAGATCTAATGCTGACTGATGGTACAGGAAGCAGAGGGTGCTGAGGCTGTAAGTCTTTGCCAGAACCTACTGCTCCAGCCTTCTTCCATGGGGTGGCTGCTGGGTTCTAATTGCCAGCCATTTGGTTCGCAGCCCACGCTTAACCCCCTGTACCACCAATACTCCTGATGGACAGCGGTAATTAATGTTTGCTGGGCGATGAAAACAGAGGAGCAAACCAACTGATCGGTCAATGCGTCAGTAAACAAGAGCAGCTAGCTGAATGACTCAAGTGGCAAACATTTGGGCACTGATTGCTCTTAGGGGGACCCCAAGAAGGAGTCTGTGGGAGAGGGGAGACTGATGTTTTATGACCAGTCTTCTCAGCTCTTATTCATAGCAAATACATTTTTTTATATACCTGGATTTCACCTGATGGTATGCACAGGAATCAGATCGATTACACCTGTGGAAAGAACCGCTGGAGAAGCTCAATATCAGCTGTGAAAACTAGGCCAGGAGCTGATTGTGGGACAGACCACCAACTACTCATATGCAAGTTCAAGCTGAAGCTGAGGAAAATTAAACCAAAT